TCCATTATGAAAGACAACCCATCTGGACTCAGTTACCCACCTGATGTGTGTGTGTGTGTGTGTGTGTGTGTGTGTGTGTGTGTGTGTGTGTGTGTGAGAAAGAGAAAGTTTTACCCAAGTTTGTCTTTGTGTTGGTGAGTACCTGGGGTAGTAATGTGGTAATGAAGCCACGCGCACACATACATGCACACATACACTCTCTGTAGTAAAGCTGAGGGCTTCCACATCTTGTTAAAATTCTGCACACGCACTGCGTCTCTCTGTGAGTCCTCCTCCTCTACTTTTTGGCTGACTGTAATTGCCTGAAATCCATTAAATATGGGGAGAGAGAAACTCTGCAAGAGAAAAAAAAATGGGAAGGGAAAATATCCAGCCATTCTGGTGGTAATAAGCAGTTTGAAAACAAAGGGAAAGCTGTTCTGGGAAAACAGTTGCATTTTCTCGCCGTGTGTGTTTTTTAAAATTAAAAACTGAGATTATTATTAAGAGGAAGGGGGGAGAAGGAAAAAAGGAGGTGGGGGGTTATTGTTGGATCAGTACCAGCACTTCTCTGAGCTGAGGAGCCCAGGACTGGAGCGAGGGAGGAGTGTAGGCGTGGGAGGGAATGAGAGCAGAGAGTGAGGGGTGTAGCTTTATATTCCTGGCTTTCCTTTTTTTTCTCCTGGAACTCTCAGAATGGGTTGGGCATCGGGCCGCTGCAAAACAGAGCATTTGCATTTGACTTTGTATAGAAGATTGAACAACAAAAGCCAGCCCACAGTTTTTGTCCAGCATTGCATTAGGTAGTGTTATTGAAGGAGATATGGAAGAGCTTTTATAGGGATCAGTGAGGGGGTTTTAGGGTGAGGTTGGGGGTTAGAGTAGGGTAGCTAATGTCAGGCTGAGGTTAAAGAGCCACGTGGAGCCTTGCTTTCCCATGGTTGTAACAAAGTCTCCCACTGACAAATGTGGACATCATTGTTTACAACGTCACACATTTTTCTAGTGTTTTAGGTTAGTTAAAGCTGCACGGCAGGATTTCCATGGAAGACCAAATCTATCTCACAAGCATAGTTACAGATAATACTGAAACATAATGCATGCAGCTTAAGCACAGAGTTATTATACTGTTAATGAATATATATGATATCTTGACTGATGTCCTGTTAGGGCTGCTGAAGTGAAAAAACCCAATCTATTAAAAAAACATTTGAATGTTATGGCCCCTGATATTTTTGGGGAAAAACCCATATTATTAAGTTTATGTTAAAGTCATTATTTTACGAAGATGATGGCATCATTTTTGGAGTAGATCGTAAACATTTTGTAAGGTTTCAAACACTTTTTATTGCACTGAACACCCGTTTACTCACTCAGACTTACACAAAGGGTAACAGGGTAATTTATGAACATGCAAAAGGTTTGCCAAAGTTTGAACAATTATGGCTATTTCTCAACAGTGATTTCAGCATTTCTGTATTTTGTCTAAGCTCAAATTGCTTGTTTATGGTGGGTGGGACTCAATTGGAAAATGTTGATGTCACATATTTCTGGAAACCAAGCAGGACTTCGAGGAGTACTTGATATGGGATTCATCTGATAAAAAAATATTGTTTTTTGTTGTAGGAGGAAATTCACCTATTTATTTTTCTCTGTATAAACTTTGGATTAGCAAAAAATACACATAGTTTGTTGATTTCCAAACATTGGCCATAAATTGCTTTGTTGAGCTTGTGTACATGCACTATAAAGATGAGGCTGCCACTGAAAAATTCACTGTTGCAATACCACTTCGGGTCAGTGATGGATTGAGCTCTCCGGAAGAACAAAAAAAAGTATTGACTCGCAGAGCAGGAGTTCGATAACCTCAGCTCACCCCGGGCCAGCTTAGGATAAACAGCCGTGTGTGGGGATCCGGATGCACGGGGCTTTGGGGGGGAGGCGGGGGATCCTGGAGTCCGTAGCAGTTGGGCCAGTGAGAGTTTGGCTTCATCTGGAGAGAGGTCTGGGGGTCGTCTCGTTTGAAGTGCTGCCCCTCCAGACCGAGAGCATGGGAAACAGCACCGCTCACCTTTCATGTCCCAACCTCATCGTCCGACCCCGGCTGGCAGTTTGGGGTCAGAGGTCGCTTTGGGAGAGACAGCCTCGCAATGGGCCGGTCTCCACCTAATCTGTCTATGTCTGACCGGACGGAGTGATGACAGGGAGAGCAAATGGAGAGAAATGGAAGTGGGGGCCGAGAGGTGAAGATGCAGGAAGTGAGGCGCAGATAGTGAGAGTGAGAAGGAGGAAGAAGAAAGAGCAATGACTAATTATAGTTGGAGCACTTAACAGTATTCAGGAAGGAAGAGCCCTGTTTACTGACTTTACTCTCCAAGTATGTGCGACTTGTCCGGTGCTGCGTGCCAGAGAAAATGATGGGAGGTGTCAGATAGTATGCAGATTGGAGAGAGAGCAGAGGAACATTTTCTCCTGGGACATAAACTTGGAGGGTCATACACATGTCAGTAATGGCCTTATCAGTGGGTATTCCCTCTGTTGCCAGCAATTCTGCCATATGAATAGGAAGTGATGGTGTAAAAGGCCGTTTTGGTTGTTATTTTAGTTTTTCTTCCCCTCTGAGCCCCATCTGCTTAGGCAATCACGCTCCCAGGTGCAGAGAAAAAGGGAGGGTAGAGGGAAAATCCAGCTGACTGAGAGACAGGAATTGGGAGAATATAGGGATCCAGAGATTGGACAGAACACGAGTAAGGTGACAGATTTCAGTAGGAGGATTGGTTGATAATATCTGGACGAAGGTGGGAGTGGAGAACTCTGAAATCCTTCTTTAAACGTGACTTTCATTTTCCCCCTGATGGCACATAATGATCGTCGAAAGGTGATAAGCCCCGCCGTCCATATCTAGCCAAGTGACAGGCAGATAAACAGGCGAGCTATGGTAATTGGAGGAAGTGGAGGGAGTAAAAAAAGTCTGTTAGTGGAATGAGATGAAATTGAATGTGATGGTCTAGTTACCCTCTTGGAAACGCCCAGCCACATTCCCCCCTCAGAGCTGATGTTTTTTCCCCCCCTCTGCAACACCCCGCCGAGCCTACAGGGAAAGTGTGTGTTTTTATTTAACTGTGTGAGTGTGGAGCTCTGGGTTGTGTTATATCAGCCAGTGTTGCCAAGTAAAGGGGGGGGGGGTCTCTGGGAGTGTTAGGAATGGTTCAGGTTTGGCTCCTCTGCAGTCACGCTTCCATGTATATCTGCCTGAGCCAGTCCAAGGCCCTGCAGCCAACACTGTTAAAGCTGAAGACATGATTAATGAAATCTCACCCTGACTGAACACCAACTGTTCTCTGGTCGCAGGCGCTCCGTATTGGACCTCGTCAGCAAAGATGGAGAAGAAGCTGCATGCGGTGCCAGCTGCCAACACAGTCAAGTTCCGCTGTGCTGCAGGAGGCCACCCCAAGCCTAAGCTGCGCTGGCTCAAAAACAGCAGGCCTTTCCGCCAAGAGGACCGCATGGGAGGGTATAAGGTAAGATAAACAGTAATACATCATACTTTTTATTACAACTCACTGCCTTCTCCTGCAGTGTGTTATATATGTGTTTGCTGTACTTTTTTTGAATGTATTTACAACTGGGTACGTCGAGTCTCCTACTTCCACTATCTTTCTCCGGCTGTCCTTTCACCCCTTTTCCACCCTTCACTGGAGAGACGGGAGGAGACAGAGGAAGTGAGGGCAGGGTTTCTGGTGTGAAATTGGAATTGCTCATCCGTGCGCCTCCTCTCGCCAGGATACTATGCAGAGGCTCTCACTGTAACTCGAAATGGTTCTTTACCCCCAACAATTAGAAACTTAAGCCCGGGACTTAAGGGTTAAATGCTCCCAGACAGTAACGTATAGAGGAGGTAGGTAGCGTCAGGGTTGAACTGAATTGAGAATGCTGAGGTAACTCAATCAGGGAGAACAGGTCCCACTGGCTTTGGCCGTAGTATGTGATTCTATTGTTATGAAACGGGATTTACAAACACTAGTGCGTAAGTTAAACTGAAGGAGCTTGATGCATGCAGTCACACTCTCTGTTTGTAACATTCTGCGTTGAAATACTTCAAATTAAAACTATAAATAAACTCCCATGCATTGCCTAATTTATGGAGGGAGGGCCATCTGGAGGAACATGATAATGACGTGATGTCAGTAGTCCACATACATGAGTACGACTCTCTATACTGTGGTTCCTTGTGAAGTTTCCACCCTAGTCCTGTTTTGGAAAATAAAGCAGTCCAAGTTGATTTATTTGTGCTGAAAATACCTGATTCTGTATGTCATGGGAAAGTTAAGCTAGTGCGCTTGTGTTTTATTTCCTCTTTGTATAAAAAAAGCCTGAAATCAGCTACAACCCGTCCTAATGTGATGAATTCCTCCCCCGTGACGGAGTCTATTTGGATTGCATTTTATTTGTTTTGTTCTTAAATCTCCCTTTTTATCTTTCTAAGCGAAAAGCATTAGTGAAAATGCTATCACCATATTTATAGAATGAATTTACAGTTCAGTCAGGCAGATATTACATTAATTTAAGACAAGATTCAGTGATACTGAACACGCCTGAGGTTCCTGGTTAATGACTGACGCTTCATGAGGAAACACATCCCCCTGCCGGGAAAGTCTACAGCATATTATGATGATGTAGCTTCTCATTGGCTTTCAGCGTACACATTACAAGCGTAGACACAAAACAGGCCACCGCGTGACGGAAATGATACAGCCAGGCTGTCAGATACACTGTGGGCAGCTCGTTTCTCGCTTTTTGTCAACACATGTTGGACAAAAGCTATACCTGAGCCCAGCCCTGTGGCATAATCTCTCCTTTGTGTGAAATGTAGGCCTCTACAAGCAGCGGCTACAGTCTCCGTCCAGCGTGCGGACGGAAACGCTATTGTTAGCTCACACCTGTGGATTCAACACAGGAGTCAAACTTTTTTTTCCAAACAATAATGAATGTGTGAATTAATGAATGAGAAAACTGTGTTTCAGACTATAAAGGTGGGGTTTACCACCTAAGAAAACAGGGCCAGACAGAAGGAAGTATCGGGGTCTTTGATAGGTGTTTTCGTTGACAAAAACATTTTATCTTACTAAGTTTTTCGCTACTTATCAGAAATCCAAAAATAATCAGACACTAATAATGTGTAAGAAATAAGGGTATTATTTCCCGTTGACCAATATTGCAGGTACTCAAATAAATAAAAAAGTCCCTAAGGAGGAATCAGCCTGTCATCAGCCTCACTATTGTTTTCCAACTCCCGTCTTTCACTCTTCAGAATAAATCTCCTCGTTTTTGTTTTCATCCTTCTCATTTTGAATGTCACCTGCATTTTTGTGTGTGTATTTATTATGTGTATCAATGAGTGTGTGAGTGTAACAAGAAACCCCTGCCTCTCGTTCCCAGGTGCGTAGCCAGCACTGGACCCTGATCATGGAGAGCGTGGTGCCGTCGGACAAGGGCAACTACACCTGCCTGGTGGAGAACGAGTACGGAGCCATCAACCACACCTACACCCTGGACGTAGTGGGTCAGTACTGCACACACACATACACTCAAACTTGAAGTACTGTGAGACTAATGAAGGCAAGATGGAGGGATGGTGGGAAGGGAGGCAAGCAGAAATAGTTTTCGCAGTGAGAATAGTGTGTGTGCGTGTGCGTGTGTGTGTGTGTGTGTGTGTGTGTGTGTGTGTGTGTGTGTGTGTGTGTGTGTGTGTGTGTGTGTGTGTGTGTGTGTGTGTGTGTGCATGCTGTTTGATCACCCAGGTGCACTCTGGATGCAGGTGCAGGTCAAGAAATGCTGCCAAGTGTGTGGATTATGATGTGGTTATTATATGATATTACAAATTATATATTTTTACAATTGATTCGGGGAAATCCCAATTTTATGATGGTATTATGTGTTTACGATGTCCAATTAGGTTATATGTATTAGGTAGGCTCATTGAAGCCCCGACTTTGTGTTGTTTTGCTCCTTTTGCTTATCACGCATCCTCACAGACTAAAACAAATGTCATCTCTTCACCAAAAACAAAAACAATATTTTACTGGAACTACTTTTAATTGAAGAAATATATCCTCGGAAAATGTTGACAGTCCTTAGCAACGAGGAAATAGTTTCTGGGAAAAAGCACATTGTTTTCCAGTATTCTAAATGCAATTGTTCATGCTTTGAGCACCACAGCATTGGATAACAAAACAACAACTAGTATATATTGCCCAATACCACAAAATGGAAGTAGAAAGATATGTTAATTGTGGTATTTTTGGATGAACAGACCCTTAAAAGGGGCCCTATTGTGCTTATCTTGTCTGTGTTTTCCATTTCCTGCAGTGTGTTATATGTGTTTGTGCATTTAAGTCTGCAAAGGCTAAAATCCCAAAGTTCACGCCAGGGCGAGTTTCTCTCCTACACACTTCCCCCCTGCCTGAAGCGCCTCCATTGTTTTTTTAATTTTGTTTTTCAATGTATTGAACATGTTAAATGTTGTAGTCATTCCCATGAAATAATGACATCGCACTGTAACACTCAAGCTTCTATTGGCTAGTGCTCCAAAACATTGTACGTGTACGGCTAAGGGGCGGGACATCTCTAAGCGGTTGAAAATTCAAAACAGAGTCGACCAGCTAACCAATCAGAGCACACCGAGCTCTGGTTTCAGACAGAGGGTGAAAATAAATACTGCAGCACAGGCAGTAGTGCTTCAGACCTTTTTTGAACATTAAAGCATGGAGACATGTCACAGTCGAGGCACAAAATACAAATATGAACCTGAAAATGAGTATAATAGGGCCCCTTTAATGTTGGCTGAGGTATGATGAGGACTTAAAGCGTTGTGCTGCCCTCAGCACAATACAGCGAGTTCAGACCCAACTCAGTCAACCCCTCACTTTGACCTTTGGAGCGCAAAAATAGTGTTTTTCTGCTCAGTTTGCAGAATCGATGGAAAGCGGGGACAACAAGCGGAGTGGGATAACGCTAGTAAATCCATGTGTGCTTGTGAAAGAGAGCACGGTAACTTTGCCCTAAATTGATGCTCCTGATCTTTTGGCCTCAATCAAACCACAATACAAGCGATCAGTACCCATTGAACTTTATCTGACACAGTGATTCTTCTAAAGGCTGGTCAATAATCCGTAGATAAACCTGCAACTGTTTGGTCACTCTATATCTGTGTCTGTATGTAGAATTATTCTCCTACATCCACCTATTTCCTGGAGAGACGTGCTGTAATTACACACTTCTGTTTTGATTTGCGTATCCATGGTAATAAGGAGTATTATTTTCATTATATCACATCGAGATTGAATACCTGAGGGTTCTACGAGCGTAAGGGCATAGAAACACATGAAGGTCCACGCACATGCTCCCCAACTCCGGCCCCCTGCTCCGCTCCCCTCTGCATTTAGCTAAAGCTCTCCTTCAGACTGCATATTTCTGTTTTTGTTCGGTTTTATTGCACAGCAGTAAACCCCCTCCACGACTGGTTCCACAGACACTGCCCCCTGCAACCTCTTGCTTCATTTTCTCCATTATAGCGGGGTGGACAGAGGGAGGAGAGGGGGAGAAAGAGGAAAGGAGGGGAAACAGAGACAGAAACTGCTCTCTTATCAGTCTTTTATTTTACCCAAATGACCTGCAGGATCAGCTATTAAAACCAAGAGGAACCAGTCATTTCTGGTTCAAACTGGCCTCTGGAGAAAAGGGCACAGTCAACACAGCTCAGTGGCCATGCGGCACTTTTTGTTGGTAGCCCCATGCCATCCTGTGCCATGCCGTGCACTCTTCCTGTGCCCGTACCCCGCCCTGACCCTTAATGCCTTGTGTGCCAAGCCACCAGGTTACCCGGAGTTCACCGGTCTCGCATGGCACACCATGGAATGCCCCTTGCCCGTCTCCACTTTTTGCCTCCCTCCCATTGTGGCTGCCATCAAATATCTCTCCACTAATGACTTAATTGATTAATGTATTCAGTTTTAAAATGGGTCACTACATATTGGTCACTGCAAAACATAAAACAGCACAGCGCAGTCTGCACTTTCATTTGATTTGATGCCTGCAGTGATGGAAAAAGTACTCTTCACAAAAAGTATAAAAACAACACTATTTCATAATCTCAACTAGAATTATCAGCAACAAAAGCTCAGCTTCAAAATAAACATATGGATTAAAATGATCCCAAGGATAGATGTATTATTAAAAGTATCAGATTGTTAATATACAGAAAGTCTCAAATTAGCGCTTGGGCCCCTCAAAAAGGGAGGGTCCAAATAAATCTGAGATGTGGTGATGATTAATGGGAGATTGATAGAAAGATATCATGAAACCATAAAAGTTCTGACTCTCAAATTGATAGATGTGGTGGACTAAATGGTACAATATGTTCCTCTTGACCTAGGAAGGACGTTTTTACATAGCAAGAAAGTACATTAAAAGTATACCAAAATATATTACTTGAGTAAATATACTTTGCTACATTCCACATGGATACAGGCAATACCACCTTAGCTGTTTGTCTAGGCATTCCCTTTTTAAATCCTTAAAAGGTATTTCTTATTTTTCCCATCATCCTTTGTGTATTTCCCTGCCTAACTGTAGCCCCCTTGTATGAGGTTAACTGGCCATAAAGAAGCTTCTCAGCCCACACACATACACACACCACACGATATCCCATTCATCTAATTTAAGCAAGATTTGCCCCTAAAACTTTTATTGTTTTGGGGTTTCTCCATAATCATGATGTGGCCCATTTTATCGCAATACATACTGATTCTGTCATTTAGTCTGAGGTGTACGCAGCTCTGAATGCTCCAGCTAATATTTAGGTCAAATATAATAAAAGTTAGAATGCATGTCTACTCCTCTACATGGGTGTTTCCATCATACCAGAAACGTTTGGCTCTTTGCTGACAGACTGATTTAAGTCCATCACCTCTCTTTGCACGGGAAAGATCAGGAGGGTGAAGAGGCCTGTGAAAGATGGAGAATGAGAGAAAAGGGGGGGGAGAAAGGGAGAGACAATAAACAGGACGGGCCCTAGGAAAGTGCAGGAAGGGGGAGGGATGGAGGAGGGGGGGGAATCATCTGACAGATTTCAGAAAGATGGAGCAGAGAGACGGACATATGGAAGAAGTCTCTGCCTGCTAGTTTCTGCACTCTCCCATCTGTTGATCTCTCCCATCCCCCACCCTCCTCATTCTCCATTTCAGCCCTCCTTCTTTTAAACCCAGCCTCTAAACTCCTTCGCACAGCCTCACCCTCTGGACCATCCCCCCTGACCCACCCCCGACCTTCTACACACTCGGTGCACCTACCTTAAGGCTTTGTTTTGAAAAGGCTCTGTAGCGCCCCAGGCTTAGTGATGTCATTTTGTGAGAGTGTGTGTCTCTGATACTGTGTGTATAGGTGGTTGGGCTATGTGTGTGTGTGTGTGTGTGTGTGTGTGTGTGTGTGTGTGTGTGTGTGTGTTGTGTGTGTGTGTGTGTGTGTGTGTGTGTGTGTGTGTGTGTGTGTGTGTGTGTGTTGTGTGTGTGTGTGTGTGTGTGTGTGTGTGTGTGTGTGTGTGTGTGTGTGTGTGTGTGTGTGTGTGTGTGTGTGTGTGTGTGTGTGTGTGTGTGTGTGTGTGTGTGTGTGTGTGTGTGTGTGTGTGTGTGTGAGGCAGGGGTGGTTGCTGTCAGTGTGGGGTTGTGGGCTCCTCAGTATGGTTGTGAGTGCCGGGTAGTGTTTTGAAGGGGGCATTGTTCAACAGGTCTCGCTCTGTTTGGATTCGCAGGCCAAATGTTTGCGTGTTAAAGAATGCAATAGCTGGGTTGCTACGAAGGTGTTTCACTTTCCAAGAATGACACGTCGTTTTTCTTAACCCTCTACTCACGTGCAACAAATTCACTCTATGGAAGTCCTCCTGCAGCTGAGTTCTTTATCTATTTGTGATAAATGAGTCTGTGCCTCTTTGTTTTTTTGCAAAGTCTTAAAATGCAGAGGAGATAAGAGAGAGGCAGCCAGTCAGGATCATAGCTGTCAGGGTTGAAGGGAAACATTTACACTAGTAGTACGTGAAGTTCTGCTTTTGCAAAGATAAACTAGAACTTCATGTTTCTTAAAGGGAAATAACACCTTTTTAATTTTGGACACAGCCTTAGTCTACCACTTCCTTGAAATTAATTAGTGTGTGTTATATAATTAAACTGTTTAAGTATTAAACCATTCCAAGGAAATGAACGTATTCAGAACCTTTGCCTTTAAACAAGCATTAAGGGCTCCCCATAATGTTGAAATGTCAACAATAATATATTAAAGTTTGAGTATCATTAAAGTCATTCCCAGGCTGCATGACATAGAACGCTATGAGCTTAAGTAATGACCGGAAACACAAACCAATAAAGAAGACAGGGCTTTTTTTGGGAAGGGGGCTTAAAGGGATAGGCACTGATTAGGACAACTGAGCGTTTCCATAGAGAGGGGTAAAATACAGTCATGTTTGTCAGACAGACAGACAACATTAAAAGCAACTAAAAAGGTTGGAGAAATCTAAAATATTATAATGTGAACAATACAATATTAATATTGGTGAACCAGTCCTTAAATTCAACCATTTCCCCCCTTATTTACAGAACGGTCCCCCTCATCGACCGATCCTCCCAGGCGGTCTCCCGGCCAACACCACAGTAAACGTCGGGGAGGACGCCCGTTCGTCTGTAAGTTCTACAGCGACGCCCAGCCTCACAATCCCAGTGGCCTCAAACACATCACTCAGAACGTTAGTCGCATACGGCCCCGACGGACACCCATACGTCCGAGTGTTGAAGGTACATTGCCACACTTCCTCTTTTAGATTTGAATTATTTATGATTATAGTACCTCCTTTTTTCTTTGCCGTGTATTGGCCAGATTTTGCAGGTGTTTTTTTGATAACAAGTCATAAAAGGTCTAATCATTTTCTCCTTATTAAAGTGATAGGTGTTTTCCATGCTGGCTATGGTGGTGATTCCAGAAATACAGTATCTGTAGTCATGATGTTGATTTTACAAGTATGTTGTGTGTGGATTGCAGCGTTCAGGCATCTAACAGTTCCGGACGTGGAGATGCTCACCCTCACCAACGTGACGGAGGCGGGACCTGGGGAGTATATCTGTAAAGTCTCCAATTATATAGGCGAGGCCAACCCAGTCGGCTGGCTCACAGTCGTCCCAGGTACCTTTGAAGACCTGACTACCCACCACACCTCCCCGTTCCCGCGTGTCGGTGTGGTCCTGGCCTCTGTCCCTGACCCGCCTGTGCTGTGGGTGGTCCCTTCTGGGTGGTCTCTTGGTGCTCTCTGGGGCTTCACACACTTTTTCTCTCCTAATGGTACATCCTTGTGTTTCAGCTGCCCTTCACTGCTGGGATTGTGCGTCATGGGAAGCACTGTGCATACCGTAGACACTGAAATTGTCACAGCTAGCATGTGGACGTTCACATTCTGTCCTCTTGCAAGCTGTGTCAAGATGGTGTACGGTTGTTGCAATACAAGTGCTCTCCATGCAATTTGTGTTTGTGTTGTTTGCATGTGTCCAATCCAGTTATGGATTAGACTTCGATTAGGCAGGATTTATTGGTGACGGGGTCTCTTTTGGTTGTTTTGTTTTCTGGTGTATTTTCTGTTTTTGGTGGGATCTATCTGTTTCTGTGTTTTATGAAGCCTCCTCCTCCTCCTCTTCCCCCAACAGCCTTTGCTCTAGATGGGACCTCGCAGATGGAACCATCCAGCTCTCTTATTTCTCTTTTGGTGTTTTGGTCTGATTTTTTCTTCTCTCCTCCCATTTCTCTTTCCTCCTCCCCCCCAACCCCCTCTGCTCTGATCTTCTTCCCGCTCTTTCTTCTTTGACACCTCCCCATTTTCCTCCTCTTCTTCTTCTCCCCAGACTGCAGGTGTTAACACCACAGATAAGGAGATAGAAGTTCTCTACTTGCCCAATGTAACATTTGGAGATGCTGGGGAGTATACGTGCTTGGCGGGTAATTCTATTGGGATCTCCTTTCACACTGCTTGGTTGACGGTGCTTCCAGGTATATACACTCGTGTACTGTCCTCTCTTTTCCTTCTCTCAGCCTGTTTGTTTGTGTCATTACAATGACCTCTGCGGAAGGCAAGTCCTCCCCCCGGAGTCCGAGGCGTACAGCTCAAATATTAGATTACTGCCATGAACCTGCACGGTCAACATCCGAGACAATGAAACGTAAGAGCAGGGAGCATATATTCAAAAATATTATCTGGATTGGCGAGCTGTTGAAAGCTCAGAGCAGATAAGAGGGTAGTTTGCAGACGACTTATTATAACTCTGAGATGGAAGTGGAGCTCCCAGAGAGGCTCGAGTGTCTCCGGTCTCCAAAAGGAGGGGAATGTTTGTTGCCCGCCTTCTATCTCTCCTATGCACCTTGGGAAAAGTCTTTCAGTGCCACATTTTTGTTCTACATGCAAGATAAAGTGTTTATTTGTAAGCCTTAAAAGCGTTCTTCAACCCTTCCCTGGCTCTGATAACTGGCTTCTTTAAAGATCCTTATCTCATCTTGAAATAAAGATCGAAAGGTAAAGCTCAACACTCGCTCAAAGTTGGCTTGTCTTTCTCAATTATCAAGGCCAACCCTCTCCGGCTCTACACAGGGAATGACTCATGCGTGTGAATGTTTGTGGGTTTTCGTTTATCAACTTGTTTTATCCTATTTTTGTCCCTTGCTGTATGTCAGGCCTGTAATTATGCATACCAAAGGATCAAATACATAAAACATAGTGCCTGCAAGTTCATTTCAGGCTAAGTTGAAACATTTTTCTGCTCAAGTTGTAGCCGAAAGCAGGCCGGGTACAAAATGAGATCGATGAGACTCCCTTAATGTCTTAAGCAGACACCAGTTTTGTTTTGTTTGTAAACAATACAGCGTAATGATCACAGGCTAGCCATTTCCTGTGGGACTAATATATCATATTTATTGCCCTTGATTTGCTCTATCTGCACTGATGGCGCCTTCGAGGCTACGGCTTCTGTGTGTGCGCTGTGGCTTTTGGACCAGCAGATACAAAGCAGACAGGAAAAAAGGTTCCTAGATGAAGCTTCACCTCCAGCTGGCTTCTTGGTTGGTTGGTTGGTTGGTTGGCTGTGCTGCACAAGAGCCTTGTTTGTGGTCTGGAAGGCTATGTATTATGGAACAGTCCATTTCTACAGCACACACACAGACGCACGCAAACCCGACCCATTTCCTCGACAGGAAGTTGAGGCCATATACAACCACGAAGGACACCGCTGTCCCTTGTTTGCGATCTGAAGTGAAGCGCGTATTGTTCCGGCGGCCGTGGGTGTGTGTTTGTGCTTGCGTGTCTCCAGCATTAGCGCAGACATATGCAGGCCTGGTTGTGCTGAGTCAACATTGTAAATCTGTTAAAGCCCACAATGTTGTTTTGAAAAAACAGTGTGCGTGCCGTTACTCAGGGAAGAAGCGCTAGAGAAGGATTCTTAAAAATCATTTCTGTTTAGTTTGCCTGCCGATTGTGATTACATTAACGCATGAGTCATCCCCCGAGCATCTGTCTCTGTGTTTGCCTGTCTGATACCCATGTGTGTCAGTTCAAATAGAGAATGTGTCGCCCATACGTATGTGTGTGTGTGTGTGTGTGTGTGCGTGTGTGCGTGTGTGCGTGTGTGCGTGTGTGCGTGCGTGTGTGTGAGAGACTTGCTATATATTTCTTCCCCTGACCTCCGTCTCACTGCTCACCCTTTATTTTTTCTCAGCCCTTGAGAAAACCCCAGGGCCCCTTTCCCCAGACTATGTGGAGATCGCCATATACTGCGCGGGCGTCTTCCTCATCGCCTGCATGGTGGGCATCGTGGTGGTGTGCCGCATGAGGAACACTGCAAAGAAACCCGACTTTGGGAACCAACCGGCAGTCCACAAACTGAGCAAGCAGATGCCCTTGCGCCGCCAGGTAACAGAAAGTAGATAAAGAGTTCTAAAGGCATTTAACACCCCTAGAGGAGAAAATCACACACTGCAAAAATACAATGTCAGATAACAAAATAATATTAGAATTAGGATTATTAGAAAGGAGGCTAATGCTGCAAAAGCATAATGAAATATACTATGGAAATAATAACAATTATTTTGTATACAAAACAATCACAAACACTAAACTCTTGTGGTATTTATACAATCTACCTCCAGCCTAATTTAGAAGGCATGCATTTCTGAGCAAGTTAGCACTGCTGCAATTTTCAGATTATTTTTCCTCTGTGCGAGCCATGCTTTTCCCTGAAGGGAAACGAAAAAATGTACGCTCCAAAAGGTACAAAAAGTGTTGGATTACATTCTATGGAGAGACTGATTCCTGTGTCAAGGTAAGTTTAGGGCGGAGAGAGCAGAGAAGAGCCCTGGGGACGAAGAGTGAAGAGGCCGAATGATCCACACACATTCATCAATACTATATATATTTGTTAATATGCTCTACTTATCAACTTTCCTTGAAAATCCAGTCAATCATGCACTTTCACATTACCTCTGACTCCTCTAGTGATGCCTTAGAGCTTAAGCTGACGTATGAACCCAGACTCCGGTGATCAGCCAATCCTTCTACTCCTACAGGTGTCCACAGACTCCAGCTCTTCCATGAACTCCAGTACGCCACTGGTACGCATCAAAACACGGCGGGGCTCTGCGCACGACGACCCGATCCCGGAGTATGATCTTCCCGAGGATCCGCGCTGGGAGTTTTCCAGGGACAGGTGAGGGCCGTCCGTTTCATAGTGTGCGTGTCTGCCTAGTTATTCCGATTAGCTCCAAAATGGTATGAGTTTTGACATTAATCACTCTTCGCCCTTCCACTAAGTTTCATGATAAAGGGCCCAGTAGTGTTTCCGTCATCTTGCTGAAAAACAGACAAAGAATTCAGCAAACAAATAAACCTTTGGATGTTTATATTATTTTCATAATGGAAAGTAGATTGAGTGATTCTGCTAGTTTCATCAAGATTAATGTTTGGCCTTGTAAACAGTAATTATGAGCTAGTCCTAATTGCAAGTTTTGCATAGTTTCCAAAAGGAAAATATGTAATTATGTAAATGTAACTCATCCCCTGCAGAAAGCATTAAAAAGCCTTTAAAATGCAAATCTGCTTTAGAGTGCCACTTTTTCTGAAAGGGGGAATGCATTCTAACACAATCAGGATTCAAAGCCTGCATATAGTGCCTGTTCGACACTCTGCATGACAACTCTCAGTGCTGAACTCACCCTTTTGTGATTGTCCTCAACGCTAATACAACTATGTTTGGCTCACAAAGGGCATTACAGTAGCCGATAACAGCAAGATTACAACATAATAAGCATCTGTGTGATTGTATCTGGGCTGCTTAATGATCAGATAACTATTGTTGTTGGTGAAAAGGGCCATTAACACTGATAGACAGCATGCAATATGACTAACTGCAGATGAATGCTTGGGGTGTCTGAGATAAAGGCTGCTGTAGTAAAACGACCTGAACTTGGCACCTTGGCATATGCCTCATCATCGCAACTGCTGCTGCTGCTCCTGCTGCTGCTGCTGTGTCACACTCTCACTCACACACGTGCTTCTGATGCTAAGGAATGAAGCGGTGCTAATTACTGGTTAGCACTAGCAGCTTTCATCTGCGTGTTTGGGCTAGCAGGGTTTGCGCTGTCTCATACCAGAGGAATTAGCACCACCGAGGTTTCTATTCGTCACGGTTGCAGCGGCCAGTGATAAGCTTTAGGGTGGATTTAATAGGACTGCAAAGGTTAGAGTCCTTTAATACCCACTTGAGGCCTCTGATTTTGAAATAAAAGGGAAAATCCCAAACCATAAACACGAAGGCCTTCCTCTTGTTGAAATAGCTGTAAAAATCATCTTTGATAATAAATTCTACCATCACTTATCAGTAAAGGGAAATCTGATGTAAAACTCTCTCTGCAGCAGAATGGCTTTCTAGGGGAAAAGTTTAGATTTTAATTGATGAGTCCACCGAATGGGTTGTTTTGTCTGGGCTGAATAAACCTCTGTGCGCCTCTCTGTTTGGGTCTTTATTCCTCGCCTGTCATCCCAGGGCCTGAGGGATCATGTTGGGGTTGCAAAACGTTGAGGAATGCTAACGTTTGCTGTTTGGATGGAGGAAAAATAACATTGATTATGTGTGGCTGGATGGACAGAATGGTTGCCATTGAGCGTGGCGAGTGTGTGGACAGATAGGGGATTGTGTTACTACGGCACGGCGCCGGCCTCAGGCCCTGGGCTCTGCGGCATGCAGTGTGAGTGTTTACATAGCCAGGACACTGGGCCTTGAGGGGTGGGGCTACACATGTCAATCAAATTAGATTGCACAAGCTACACTGCTAGTTCAGGGGTCAGATAGGTGCTTTGGCTCTCATGGAGAGTTGAGAAAGAGCATGTGTGGGAGAGTACATATTACGGACTACATTTATAAGAGCAGCCAAAATAGTGAAATTTCAGTTAAAAAAACATTTATTTAGACTTTTTTACTCATTCAATATTTAAATATCCTAAATTCAGTGCAATTTTGTCTGTTGATATCAGGACCGCGGATGCAATATTTAGGAAGGTAATAGGCATTTTTAACGCAATCATGAAAATTGTAGATTGTAACTTACTTCATTAACTTTTCAGCCTTCATTAACAATAGAAATTGTGAGACATTAACAATAAATAGTACTTAAATCTCCATCTACTATAGCAGTCAGGCCCTCCTGTGGGGCAACACAAAGCCAGCTTTCCATCAGTCACAGGCTAATGTGTCAAGGCTAAGCTAAGCCCTGTGTAATGACTTGTAAAGAGTGTATATTGGAACATGCCAAGGCAGGGTAAACAGTTTAGAAATGAGTTGCTCTCCCCTCTTTATCAGGTGATTATCGCTGCCATGTCTGCCTTCCTACCTACTGCCCTGGCACAGGCTGCAATCACCACGCCAATAAAGCACTCACACGGACACAATCTGATTGAAACAGAGAGAGTGAACTAGTAAAAAACACATACAGGGTGAGGTTGAGAAACTGGCTCGGTGCCTGGTTACAATACCTCTCCCTCTCTATCTAACGGAGGGAATCGATGCCACAGTCAAGTCAAGTTGATGAGTTTTTGTTGCAGCATCTAAACAGCTCCCTGTCTTGTTTTTTTTGCCCTATTTCCCGTCTGGCGAAAGCAGGTTGACCCTGGGCAAACCCCTCGGTGAAGGCTGCTTTGGTCAAGTGGTGATGGCCGAAGCGCTGGGCATCGATAAGGACAAACCCAAGGACGCTGTAACGGTCGCTGTCAAGATGCTGAAAGGTAAGCGGCGCCACACAAATCACAGAGAGGTTGTAATGGTAAACGTCTGGCTTAAAACCAGACGTACACTGCTTCATTATGTCTTGTGGGGCAAACTGAGTACATTGTATGTGATTTATGCTCCAGTGAAGGTTCAGTAGAAGTGCAAGGCGGGGCCTGGGGCTGTCATTAGTATTTGTTATTGGTCGTTGTTGAGTGACGGCTAAGGGAAGGCAGCGTTGTGTAGGTAAGGGTTAGGGGCGGTCACATACCTGACCCCAGAGCAGCAGCTGGCTGGAGCTCAGTCAGCACCCACACAAAGAGGCAAGTCACACCAGCACTGCTAAGATTAATGAAAGCAGCACCGGGGGGGGTTTGGGGTTAGGGTGGCAGTTAGTTCAGGTACAACAGCAGGTTATTGGACCAACCTTGACAATGGGAATCTGCTTTTTAGGTAAGGTAATGGTGCGGAGGAATGCAGGCAATGCTATTCTGACTGTCTGGATACCTGGCTCAATCCCTCCCATGAAAAAGGAGCCTCCACAGCAGATAATGCTCCAGATTGAACGTCTTTAATTCCTCCTCCTCCCTGCTCCTGGCACTGAAAGGAGGCCTCTGTGTTGTGTGAGGAGCGTCTCTCTCTCCGCAGTAACTTAAGGCCATATTGTCTGTCAGCCGCACTTAATCAGAAGCACCTAGAAAACAAGGTGTTGTCTCACGGGGAAGATACAGAGAGGAGAGGTTAAAGGGAAGACAGGGCTAAGCTGTGTTTGTTTGATGAGTTTCCCCTGACAACCTTGAATCCAAATTCTTCTGTCCTTAGATGACGCTACTGAGAAAGACCTATCTGACCTGGTGTCAGAGATGGAGATGATGAAGATGATTGGCAAGCATAAGAACATCATTAATCTATTGGGAGCCTGCACCCAAGACGGTGAGTAGGACGGGACCCAACATAACACATCATAAAGCACATTACGATTTTATTCCACAAGTAATGCACCTCACTTCAGCTTTGTGAACCTTTTGTGTCATTTTATACGAAAAGTTTGCTACACACTTCAAACAAATTCATAATATGTGTCATCAGACACACTTGCAGCGGTTTGTATCTGATATAGAAAGGTTGGATTTTAATTGGATGTGAAGTGTGGATAAAGCTGAGCACTCTAAGAATGTTTTTTTTTCTTCTCTCAAAGCTACTTTTGAAGATCAGTGGAGCCACGATTGTTTGAAAAATCTAAAATAAATACTATGCTGAGGAATGCCACTAAGGATTATTTTCCTTATCGATGAAGCTGCTGATTATTTACTCGCAATATTAATTGGCCTCAAATGTCAGAAAAAAGAAGAATCCCAGTTTTTTTTCGCTTCAAAGGGATGTCTTTATATGTTTTTGCTTTCTCAGTCTAAAGATATTGAGTTTAATATGATATAACATAGAAAATTCAAAAATCTTAACATTTGAGAGGCTTAGAACTGATTATTCTTACATTTCTGCATGAAAAAATACTTTTCAATCAATCAATTATCGAACTAGTTAGTATTTAATAATCTATTGAGAATAGATTATTCGACTAATCATTTCAGATCTACTATGCCCATTTTCACACCCAAAACAAAAACATTTCATTCACTGCAGGGTCGATTTAACTAGTTTTGGAGATGGGAATCTAGGCCATTTGGAAGTCATTTTCCTTAAGTTCTTTTCAAACTGAATTATCCCAGAATCCTGGATCAAGTCTTAACATGTATTATAGTCCATTACAAATGATCTCAGTGTCACTTTTTGGGAATGATTTATGTTCAATAGCTAATGCAGGTAGTTTCTCCCGCAGGCCCCCTCTATGTGATAGTGGAGTACGCCTCTAAAGGCAACCTGAGGGAGTACCTCCGATCCCGCAGGCCGCCCGGCATGGAGTACTCCTACGACATCACCCGGGTCTCAGACGAGCAGCTTACTTTCAAAGATCTGGTGTCCTGCACTTATCAGGTGGCACGGGGCATGGAGTACTTAGCATCACAGAAGGTAAGGATGCACACAAACACACTGAAAGTTCTCACAACAGTCCCCTGCTGGCACATCTTAGTTCACATAGCATTTGATGAATTGTATCCAGGAGGGTTTTACGTGCGTCACTGTGGGAATATTGTCCTAAAAACACTTCTCTGACCCCCTGCCCAATCCCCGCATTGTCTCTCAATCCACGACAAAAGCCCCTCTGTGTGGAAGAGCTGCGAGGATTTCACAATGGGGGTACGGCCATGTTGGGCCAAACGCAGCCTCACGCTCCCTCTCACTGTTGGAATGTGACAGAGTGTACTGTCTCTCATGCACAAACACACACACATGTACATGCGTGCACATGCGCGCTGATGCACATAAACAACCTGGACCATATATGTGCTGAAGTATGCGAGGAACCCTTTCTTATCCAGACATGTTGGTGCAGTCATCGTGGCGTCATGTTAGTGCTACCTCTGTGCAGGAGATTTCTGGATGATTTCACACACCACAAACATCTGAATACCACTCTAAATGAAGGATACACCTGTTTTTAAAGTTGCTTTATTCATGCAGTGAGATAACTGTCTTATTCTTCTCTTCCCCCTCACTTTTTCCACTCTTTTTCTCTCCTCCCCTCTTATTTCTCACTCTCTCCATCCCAGTGTATACACAGAGACCTGGCAGCCAGGAACGTCCTGGTCACGGAGAGCAACATCATGAAGATCGCCGACTTCGGCCTGGCCAGGGACGTCCACAACATCGACTATTATAAAAAGACGACCAATGTAAGTCCTCTACCTGCACCGCCACATATTGAGTGTGGAGTGGAATGTTTTTGAGAGCCGCAGTGTGAGATTTGGTCCACTTGTCTTCTCTCTTTTCTCTAATTCCCTCCGTTTCCCTCATCTTTCTATTCCGCTCATTCCCCTCGGCTGGTGTCTTGGCAGAAGCAGCAGGTTCCCAGGCAGCCTCTGAATGTAGTGCTTCTGGAGACTCTGCCTTGTTTATCCCTCAGTCTCTTGTTCCTTCAGTCCCATAGACACTTATACAATTAGCCAAAAAAGAGAGAGAGAGTGAGAGGGGAGCGGCTTATACGTAATTGACATTTCCATAGTGGCCCAGTGGTGTCTTTCTTTCCCACCGCAGAGCAGCGCTGCCTTCACATCCTCATCGAGTATGCATGGGTGGCTTTTCATCGCATGCAGAGAGCTAGCTGACAACAACAACAACAATGTGCGATGATGACGATGGTGATGATGATTAGAACAATGGCGGCTGCGACAATGATGATTGCTTGTGTTAAACTATTCAAGACAGAGCCATCATTGTAGGGAATTATTTTTGATTTCTAATCATTTTTACGTCACTATGATAGGAACACCACTGTCATATAAGTGCAATGTAATGTAGAGAAGCTAAGAAAGTTACACACATACTAGACATTTCTTTATAATTGTTTCGTACTATTTTTCACATCCTGCATATTTTTGCAGCATGTGAGAAATCGACTTTCATAAGGATTTATGTATGTGATATCCCTCCATTTAGTGTTTCAGAGTCTCTGATGAGATTATTCTTGCCATTAGCCTACCACGCAGCTATTGACGAAGGCCGCCTTGTCCGCTATGCTTAGCCTCCCAGCCAATGTTTTGCACAGGGAGATAAACTTCTCTTTATCTGTGACCCTGTTTATCTGCTCTCTTGCTCTAACAATGTAAACGTTCCTCTGGGAAACCCTCCTCCCAGACAGTCGCTCTAGTGCCGTATTCCCCAGGCTGCTTTCACGTATCGGCCTCTCCAGGAGTAATGAGATCTACTAGCGGGGAATGAATTCAAACATGCTTATCAGGCCAGGAATGAATTAATCCAGGGATGGGCTGTGTATTGTGTTTGACCTCTCACCTGTTTGTGTCTCCAGGGTCGTCTCCCGGTAAAATGGATGGCTCCAGAGGCGCTATTCGACCGGGTCTACACACACCAGAGTGATGTGTAAGTATCTAACAAACTGTTTCATATCCCTTTTTCTTCATCAGGAACTTTCCCCCAGAATTGGCAACCTTTTGCCACATTTTACCTCCCCAAAACTCCCTGGTGGAAGTTAGTGCTTTTACTGGTAGAGGGATAGTGCAGGGCTGAAAATGTTCTGATTGGTTGAGATATTGTGATTCGCAAGACAGAAACAACTGCTATTGTAAAGAACAGAGAGCCATCAGTAAATTAGTCATGTGAGATTTCTGAGCCAGGCTAAAAGATGTCAAAATGTCACTTTATTACGTTTTTCAAAAGTTTTTAGGCCAATCAGGAGGATACCAATATGTAGTCAGTGTAATGCAAATAACAGCCGTCACTTTTTTATATGTTAGCGGAGTAATGTGCCTAATCTTAATGTGTTGACCGGTTTGGATACAACAATAGGCTGAAGGAACCTTAAGATTCTTGAAAATAGTTCACTTTTGGTGGCAACCCATATGTGTCCCACAACCACAATTTCTCAATATTTAATGCACAGATGTTTGTCTGCAGTCTGAGTTTTTCTGTAGCCTGCAGTCATAATCAGAGAGGTTGTCTTTCAGGGAGTGTGTGAGGTGTTTTGGTGCAGCACTGGTGAGTGTTAGGTGGGGG